ACACCCCTCCGGGGGTCTCCTTGGCCTTCCAGATACCCTACTCTGCCTGCGTGTGAATCCTGGTCTCAGGGTCTGCTCTGGGAAAACCTCCATGAAGACAGTTCCTGCCCCCAGGGAGTTTTTGTCCTAACAGGGACACGAGAGTGACTGGGATGGCTGAGGGCCCTCCCCAGCCTTGCCCACTCACGCCCTTGGGGTGTCTTTGTCTCTTCTCAGGACTACCCTTCCTACCCCGGCTTCCCGCAGAGCCAGTACCCCCAGTATTACAGCCCGTCTTACAGCCCCCCGTACGTCCCGGCCAGCACCATCTGCCCGTCGCCCCTCTCCACGTCCACCTACGTCCTCCAGGAGGCGTCTCACAGCGTCCCCAACCCGAGCTCCGAGTCACTTGCTGGTACGTACAGTCACTGCCCGCCCTGGTGTTCTTTACGGCTGTGGTCTGAGCCCCGGGGGCCCAGATGTAGGTCCCAGTTGTCATGAACTGGTTACCCAAAGGTTCAGTGCACCCCTCACACACGTCTGGTTGGTCTCTGTGTGTATGCGTGCCTAACTGCATCCATGTTTAAAAGTCGGACGTTTTATCTGAAAGTTCTAATTTGGGGCTTCTCTTACAAGGAGAACTAGCTATTCCAGCACACTCTCAAGGAACAAGGATTGGCTGAAATGAAGTAGATTTGCCCCATTTAGAAATGACACAACTGATTCTACATCTGGCTAGCTGAGCTCCAGTTCGTTACCTGCCTGGCCCATGTTGGCTTCAGAGTTTGTAAGCCCTGGTCCAAAAGAGAAAAAAGCACCAATTTTCTTGCCCATCCGTGATGTGCCAAGCACGTAGCTGGTGGCCTCGCACCGCTTCTTGATGTGCTTATTCGAGAAATATTTATGAAGCACCTGCTGTTGTCCAGACACTCCTTACTTTGGGAAGTAAAGGCTTGATCTTTGCAGACAGCAATCACATCATCACACAAATACAAAAGGATGCACTGTGATAGGGAGAGTTATAATACCAACAAAAATAGTCTGTCTTCCCTCTCCCATTTTCCAGATAAGAATAATGAAGATCAGAGTGATAAGTAACTTGTTAGTAATTCGGTGAAGCTGAGATTTGAACCCAAGTCTCTTAGACTCCCTAAGAAGTCTGCTACTCTCTGGCTCCACACAGCTGAGGAGAGGTTTCCTAACACCCATCGAGAACAGATCCGTGCAGGCCTGGGAGTACTGGTTCTCCCTGGAGGAAGGTTCGAGTATAGTGACTCAGAGTTCTCAGGAATCATAGAATTCTTCATTTCTAATGGCTCGACTGGTTTTAGAAAGTCCTTAAAATAGTCAGGACTTTTTGACTTCAAAAGGCAGAGAATGCAATTCACACTGGTTTAAGCCTAAGAAGGAGTTTTTAGGCACACGTAACTGAGATGGACGGGGTTCAAGGCCGATGGTGTTGGCACTCCGTCTTTCTCTTCCTCGGGTCCTGCATTCTCCTGGTTCCTTTCATTATTAAGCAGGCCCTTCCCCTAGGTGGCAAAGATGGCCACTGACTACTCAGGATTTCGCTCTTTCCTGCTAATCTGCCCAGCAAAGAGAGTCCCTCCTTCCTAACAGTTCCTGCAGAGGGCCCAGGTAAAGCTCCCATTGGCCCAGCTTAGGTCACATGCCCATCCCTGACCAATCCCTGTAGCCATTGCAGGGGGGGGGGGGGGGGGGGGTGCAGGGGGGGGGGGGGAAGGCAGCAGAGCACATCTCCATTCTTATTGGAGGTCACTGGGTTCGCTGAGATTCCACCTGGGGGGTGGGTGTCTACCAGGGCTTCATAGCCCTGGCTCTGGCTTGAGTGTGGTCAGCCCCACCAAGACGACATGAGCAAAGATGAAGGGGAGAGGACTAAAACCCACAGAAGGCAGAAGGGACACCGATTGAGCAAGAACGACAGCGGTCCACCACCTCGACATGGACCCACCTGCATCGTGAGCAGCGTGTGGCAGAGCCATGTCCTGGCCTCCTGGTGATCATAGAACTTGGCGTGTCCGTCCCCAGGCAGCCACAGATTCCTCCATTCTTCCCCCAAATCTGCTATGTGCGTGTCTTCCCTCCTAGGAGGTGGTTTGAACTTGCCAACATTAAATAACCTGGCAGCAATAAACTAGAAGGCCCAGATGTAGATTTCACTGTGTTTTGTACTTTTGCCTTTTCTTCTGAAATCTACTGATGTTTGAGGATTTTGTGGAGCGAGGCTATCATGACAGTGCATAGAAACTCACAGATAAATGGGAATTGGTCGATGGTTAGAAAAGGAAACAAAAAAAAAAGGAAGAGGTACCTCTTTTATTCGTGGGGTTCTCGAATTTTAGCCTTATCCTTTTCATCACTGGAGTGAGCTGGTGAGCCTTGGTTTGATGACAAATGGAGACAAATGGCCAAGCATTTTAAAGTCAAAGTTTAAGGAAATTTGGGGCTTGAACATTGATTTTGAGACCGTGCCCTCATCCCAGAGTATTTAAGGAATGTGTTAGTACCTACTTAACAACCTCCAAATCGTTTTCTTTGAAGGCTATGAAATTTAACAATCTTTCTTTTGTCACAGTCTCGCATTATCGCTGGCTATCTGCTTTTCAGAATGTGGACCCTTTAAACTGGTTTTGGCAAAGGAGAAAACAGATGAGAAATGAGGGTGGCGAGGAAACACAGGCAGGAAGTCTCCAAGTAGCTGCCATTATCACTCTAGTTCGTTGGGGGACTGGGCTCCACGGATGCGCTTTTCCCAAGAGTCAGGATTACGTGGGAAGGCTTTGTTCCCCATCAGGAGGGAACATAAAGACTCATGGTATCTCTTTGAAATATTTTATTGTTTCCCCCTGTTTTTCATTTATCCCTTGGTCTAAAGTTCAACAATAAGTGGTCGAGATGGTTTTTACTGTGTCTAACAAGCTCACATAAAACCTAATGACATAAATAATTGTCTGCTCTAAACGAGGCCTCGTCTCTCTTCCCCAGTGTCCCTTAAAAGGGAAGGACATGTTAGCATATATATATGTGTGTACATGCACACATGCACGCACCACATGTACGCACACATGCACGCATGCACAGGCACACACACACACACACATTCACGCACTCTTCCAAAATGTCTCGTAAAAACTCCACTTTTGAACAGAAAAAAAAAGAAAAAAAAAAAACTTCCACTTCTGAAATTGTCCAGGAAATCCTTGAGTGGCTGGTTTCAAACTCTAGAGGTTCAGAACATTTGTATGTTGCAAACAGATCTTGCTCACTCTCGGCACCGTCTGGGTATGGTATTTTGCTGCTCCCTGTTCCTGCCGCAGCACACTCTGCATTGACACGCGTTAACGGTTATGTGAAGCGTCAGCAATTTGCAGATGGTTCCTTGGCAATTTGCTGATATGGAGGGCAAAACCTGAACATCTGATGTTACTCAACAGAAAAAACTAATCAGTATTGGTTGCTGAAGGCTTTTTGTTTTTAAATTTCCAAGTATGATACAAATTATCTGAAAAGAAATTGGAAGAATTTTTTTAAAACCTCTCAAGAAGATTATCTCCCCCAGCCACTAGAATGTTTCATTTTAATCTCTCAAGAAGAGACTTAGAAGGCTCTTCCATGCCATTTGGCAACATGTAACAAAATCGGAAAAGCATGTCTCTTTTAACTCCACTATCTTACTTCTAACAATTTATCCTAAAGATTAACTTGCACATAGATACAAAGACAAGTGGAAAGAATATCTATTGCAGCCATTCCATAGCAAAAGATTTAAAAACCACCGGGATAGCCGTGGACAGGAAACAAGTTAAACAAATGACGATGCATTTTAAAGTATAGCTTTTCTGAATATAAAGACCCAGTTGTTCCAGCGTCTCTTGTTGAAAAGACAACTCTCTCTTCATTGAATTGCCTTCGAACCTTTGTCAAAAATCAGTTGTCCAGGAACCAACAAATGGCATAATGATTACATCCCTGGACTCCCACATAGTCGACCAAGGTTTGAGTCCCAAACCCGGTGGCTTAAAACTCAGGCCAGCCGCATGTGTGTGCATGCCCAAAATCCCAAGAGGAGAATAAAGGAGAAGGGATTGTGGCATGGCCATTGTCCCTGGGGAAGGGGAGATGATTTCTTGCTTTCTGTCTCTGTGTGTGTGTGTCTGGCAAGGGCACACACCCTATAGCAAAAAATCTCTCTTAAAAAAAAAAAATCAGGGATTGGCAGGTGTTATGGTAGTTAAGGATACTGGACTCCCACATGGCCAATTGTGGTTTGAGTCCTGGACCTAGCAGCTTGCTTTCTCACTTCCCCTCTTTCTCTCTCACTCTGTCCCTCTCTGGTCAAAATAAAAATAAATAAATGAATAAATAAATAAATAAAGTTAAATAAAATCTTTTTTAAAAATCGGTTGTGCATATACACATGGGTTATTCGGCATGCTATATAGCTCTTAAAACTCAAGGTAAGCTCAGCTGGGAGGGTGCCATTGGTAGTGGCTGGAAGCCACATGGCTCACCGTGAGTTTGGATCCCAGCCCCATCAGCCTGAAAGACTGTGCACATCCAGGAGCCCGATGACCTGGAAAACTGGAGGAAGGAGGTCGTGGTTGATGAGGCCCTGTCTAAGGCGCTTCTCTCTCTCATGCTCATCATGAATAAAAATAAATAAGTAGAACTTAGAGGCAGACTGAAAGAAGGAGAAAAAAGAAAATATAAATTGCCAATAAGAAGAAAGAGATGACATCGTGTGTGTCTTCTAAGGACTATAATGCAATCTGTGAAAATCATGCCAATAAATTCAACAACTTAGATGAAATGGACAAATTTTTTGCAGGACAAAAACTGTCAAATTCACTCAAAGAGAAATAGGGTAACTTAAATAAGCTTGTATTTATTAAATAAAATGATCGTTTTTTCATTGAAGATCTTCCCACGAAGAAAATACCAGGCCCAGGCCAGCAAGTGATGTGGAGGTTAAGATGACTGGCTCCAACATGGCCAGCCACATGGTTAAGTCCCAGACCCAGCAGCTTGAAAACCACACTGGGCACCTGTGCGTGCATGCCCAACATCCTGAAAGGAGAGTGAAAGAGAGGGGACTGTGACATGGCCACCCTCCAGAGGAGTGCTTTCTTACTTTCCCTTCTGTCTCTCTCTTTCTCTGTCTCTCTCCAGTGAGCATGTGTGCTTGATAGCAAACTATTGTTAAGAAAAAAATTTTTAAGAAAATACCAGGACCAGATGGTTACACTGATTAAGTCTACCAAAGAAATACCACAAACTTTTTCAGAAAATTGAAGAGAAAAGCATGCTTCCCAACTTATTATTCTATGAAGCTGGCATTACCCTGATACCAAATCCAGACAAAGACATTACAAGAAATCTACAGACTACCCT